GCCAGGGGAGTGGACAATTTGGGATAAGAGAAGTTACAAAAGTGATAGACAAACAAAGGAACAGGTGTGTTTTGTGTTGCCATCCTGAGGAGACAGGAGCAGCCTTGGACTTCTTGTTCAACAACAAGGAATCCAGAAATTAACATCCCGCACACCCAGCAGAGGATCTGAGGCCAGTCCCACCGAAGGTCGCTGCTAAGGAACCACTAAGTCACAAGTTGATCATCATTGCAGGGCTTCCTGCCAGAAGCCTCAGGCTCCTGATTGGCTATCTCATTGTCCTTTCTAGCTCAGTAGAATAGTGGCAGGAGGTTTGAACAGGGAGTTAACTTCCTATGTGATGAATACAAACTGCCTTTCTCCCCACTTAACTGCTTAGTGATGTTGACTACTACAAAATCCTATGAATGTTTAATTTACTTTACCCTCCTGGCAAGGAAGAGCAAGACCACAAACTCATTTTAGCCATTTCCCACAGTGAAGATTTTGCCTTGACAACAAATCTTTTACGATTAAATATGGAGTAAATCTTACTTATCTATTTTTAGAGGATTCTGAATAAAGTTTGTTTAAGAGGTTTATTGATCTATATATTGTGTGAAAAAATGACATAATTTCATAGATTTCATAGGTTTTTAGGGTCAGAAGGGGCCTCAGCAGATTATCAAGTCTGAACCCCTGCCCTGGGCAGGAAAGAGTCCTGGGGTCAGATGACTCCAGCCAGGTGGTTGTCCGGTCTCTTCTTAAAGACCTCCAAGGTAGGGAAGAGCACCACCTCACTTGGAAGCCCATTCCAGATTCTGGTAACCCTTACTGTAAAGAAGTTCTTCCTGATATCTAGTCGAAATCTGCTCTCTGTCAGTTTGTGGCCTTTGTTTCTAGTTACTCCAAGAGGTGCCTTGGTAAACAGAGTATCTCCTATTCCTTGCTGCCCCTCTCTGACAAGTTTGTAGGCAGCCACCAGATCCCCTCTCAGCCTTCTCTTGATGATGGTGGGGACACGGGGGACAGAGGGAGGGGGTGAGGCCAGCACAGCTGGCCTTGCCCCCCTGCCCTGCTCCCTGGAGGTGGCGGCAATGGAGCAGATGGAATAGCAGGGTGAGAGCAGAGGAGCTTCCTCCTTGGAGGTGGCGACAGTGGTGGCAGGGAATGTGCGGGGGGCATGCTGGGCCTGGCATAGCCCCAAAATGGAAGGTATGGGGGAAGTGCACCAGGCCCTGCAATGGCGGCAGGAAGGGTGGGGTGCCAGGCCCAGCCCCGCACCAGAGTAGGGGAAAAGGGCAGCACCCACCCCCTGCTCCGTGGAGGAGGCAATGGTGGTGTGAGGGAAGAGAATAGGATTGGGGCTGGTGCGGTAGGGTGGGGACAGGGGGAGTGGCCCTGAACCTGAACTGCCGGGGGGGAATGGGGTTGGTCCCAAAATGACAGGGAGGCGGGGAACCAGGGTCAGGTCCAAATTGGAGGGGGTGGAGCCAGACGAGGGGAGCAGAGACACAGGGCCAGATGCTGGGCTCTGTTCCTGCTGGCCCCCTGGGTGGGGGTGGGGGGAGTGAGCCTGGCCCCAGGCCTGTGTCCCTACCCCACCCCCCAGCAGGCAATGGTGTGCCCCTGTTTCCCCTGTTTCCTGCAGGCCACAAAAACAGGGAGGACAGGGGGCAAGGCCAGCACTGCTGGCCATGCCCCCCTAGCCCTGCAGGTGACGATGGAGAGAATGCGGGGCAGGGCCAGCAAATGGAGGGGTGCAGCTCAGCCCTGGCCCCAAAGCGGTGGGGAGGGAGAGGGAGAGTGCGCCCTGGCCCGAAGGTGCAGGGGGTGGAGAGTGGGGCTGGACACAGGCTGCTGTCCCTGGCCACCCTCACCCCCCTGTCATTTTTGATGGGCAATTGGCTAGTGGTATAATAATATTCCAGATGCATCTTAAAAATGTAAAGTTTAGTTAGGAAAACTTGTAGTTTTCTACAAACGACATCATTCTTCAAGTTTTTGCACCCTTACATCCGTCACACAGCTATAAAGATGGAAGTCTTCCATTAAATTGAAGCTGTTTACCTAGGAATCGTCTTATTTAAAAAGCCTACTGCTATTCACTTTCACAAACAGCAGCCTACAGTATATCACTTACGTGCACTCCATGCCAGCATGACTAATCATCACAACGGTTGAGCAATTTAGCATGTAACCTTTCCCACTATACTTGTTGCAATGAATTACACCAGACTGCACATGGTAAACACACCAGGTTCTATATCTGATATATAATTGCTCTGTGATTATCAGAAATGAAGGCTGCAAACATTTACACTTGCTTTCGAAAAGCTAGGAAGTTGATATTATGTTTGTGCTCCCTATGTAACAGTGAAGTGGATGGAAAGACATAAGAAAATATAATAACATTATATATATATAAAATATTTAATTATATATATCATAAAATATTTAAATGTAGAGTTTGAGTTTTCACTGACAGGATTTACTTTATGGAAAAAAGCAACAAGAAAACCTCTGAATAAATATATTTTGAAGAAAAAGCTTGAGAAGCAGAGGATTAAAAAAAACAATGTTTTAGGCATAAAACTGCATCATCAGAAAACATGTATCTGACCTTGACAGGGGCCCTTATAAAAATTACCATATTTACTCAAATATCAGATGACCATGAATATAAGACAGCCCCCCCCTCCCCCCCCAATAATGAGATTCTATATATGGAACATTTATAAAATTGTATAATTTTCCAGGCATAGAATTTAATTATTGAAGGTTTGCCTTGAATTTGTCCCTCTTCCACTGCTACAGCAGGGAAAATAAATCTCTCTTTTTCACTATTACTTAAAAGAGTCAGCACTAAGGGGGACTGTAGTTAATGGGCAATGTGACTGGTCCATGACTGACACAACTGCTGATGGGCCATGGATGTGTCCTGCTCACCTGGTCATGACACACCTAGCCTTTCTTGCCTTCTGTGACTTGGTTGTTCTTTCAAATGAACCTACATATTTAAGGGGGTGATATCAGTGGCTCCCTTATGTAAACACCTGCGCCACTCTCTAGTCAGGTGTTTGCTCCTCTCAGCATGATTCCTTACTCTCTCACCCCTACCGGTGAACAGTTTGGCCTGCTGACTCAAATATTATAGTGCCCAGTGCTCTTGTCTGCCACTTCTTGTTGCTTTTGGTTATAAAGAATGGGAGGAAGGTCTTATATCTCCATGAATCGACACTTGGTCCACTAAGATGATGTATCCTGGGGATCCGCCTCCCCTACACCCTTCCTGGAACCAACCTGATGTTAAGGTTTCAACTCAGGTAAGTAAGGTCCAGCTGTAGTGGCCTTTAAAAAGTCCAGCACCACCAATAACATCCTGACACTTTAGAAAGCAAAATAAATAGTTCCCAAATGAAAAAAAATGAATTCTTACAGTGTAATCCTTCTGTCTTTAACAACATCCGTTTCCCGTTAGGTTTTTAGTCTTTCACATTGACTACTCACAGTCTTTCCTAGCAAAGGGATTGGGGTGAGAAAAACACCAGTTTCTCACTGTCCCCTTCACTCACAGTTTGACATTTTATTTTCTTCTCTCTCCACAGGATCCTCGCCATCTGGAGACCACTTGTCACTCTGGAGCTTCCATGAGGATTTTCCCAGTAAATCCATAGACTCTTCTAAGTCTCTATCTGTGGGCCACGGCATCGGCTCCCACCATTCACCTGGGGCAACTTGTGCCTGGACACTGTTCTTTACAACTCCAGTCTTCTCTCCTTTGTGTCATGGGCCTCTTCTATTCCGAAATCCAGATTCTGCCCAGCCAATCGGAGCTGGCACGCACTCACAAAATGTGCTGGTACTGGTGCTGGGGTTGCTCTCCTTGGTGTTGGTGTTGAACATGCCAACTCGTCCCTCTGCTGGAGCTTCTCCTGCACTTCCAGTTTATCTCCTTTGGTGGCAGCCAGCTTCTCACTGCCACACCTTCATACGATTGCATTGGCATAGCTTCTGTGGGGATCATTGTCTCCTGCACCACATCCCTTTCCATTCGGGTATTATTGCTGGACCCTGGTGATACATTGGGTTGTGATGTGATCCTTTCTTCTCCTATAGGTTTGTGACGAGAATCAGATCTGCACATGCCGTGCTTGTGCCTCTATCTCAGGAATTTCAGGAATGTAACCGGTAATATAATGTAAATAGCTCACACCTGTTGGCCAGACAGGGCGATGATGCCTTAGCATGCTGAGCTACCCCTTTCCTGGCGTGTGGGTTTTAGTCTGGTGCCCTGGGCACCACTTCTGACCCTCCTGGTCAGGTTCCCTATGCCTCCATGTGGGTTGTCCCTATCATGCAGGCTCTCCCTGCTCAAGCTCCCAGCAAGGTATAGTGCAGCTCTAGGTCAACCTGTGCCATGCCTGAGTAGGGCTTAATCTTCTGCCAGTCACCTACTGAGGTACTTCTGGCCTGTGGGCCTTCCTGCTGGGCCCGCTACATTGAAGAGCTGCTTCACTGCAGCTCCTCCGGCTGTTCCCCTTCCCAGCTCTTCCAAGCTGCCCTCTCTGTCTGACCTTGTTCATTTGGTGTGGAATTTCAGGTGAGGGTCGAGCTCCCACAGCATCTGGGACAGTGTGATCCCTGGCTCCGGTGGAGTGGCAAGCATCTGGCTCCTTCCTGGGCTCTCTTGCCACAGGGGAGATATGCAAATCTGCTTCCAGAGTTCCGGCACATCCCCTGTCTCTTCCTGCCAGCCCATCTTTTAACCCATCTCCACCTCGCCAATTGGTACTTCCCTTCCAGACGGCATGGCACTGGTTGGCCAAATTACAGTCCAACCACCTGGGTGCGGGCTAGTTCTAGCCACCTATGTGCAAACCCCCTGCTCCAGTGAGGGTGCAGGCTCCTCCTCCCACATCCTGCGCCCATGCTGACCACCCATATCTTAGTGAGTCGGCAGCTCAGGTGTGCCCATCACAAGCACTAGCACATATCTTATTCAGATGTGCTGCATCAGTATATTTGCAAGGGATATACCATATTCAACACGGTGGTTATCCCATTTTCCCAGGGGTAGGTCTGTCCCTTGCATTCTGGGTAGGCTGACCTCTGTGAGTTTCTCTGAATGCAGGAAATTCAACTGCACAGTTTTGTGGCAATGAGGGGACTGCATTCATGCTTCCTGCTTGGCTTGCTCCTTAGCCTTTTGGCTAGAAGCAAGTGAGACTGGAGGCATCTAAACCCCAAGGCTTCTGGGCTTGCAAGTAAGATATGTGGAATGGATTTGGAGAGTATCTGAAACCCCAAACTGATGGGTCTGAGAGGAAGGATGCTTGCTTGGTGGTAGAGCCACACACATACACTTGAATGATTGAGTTCTGCTCAGGTGAAATTTGGAACTTGAATATTGGGCTTTGCCCAACAGAATTCAGAAAGGAAATTAAAAAAAATCAGTATGTTTGCCTAATATGGGCCATGTGTTTTATAGTCATGATTAGTGCTGGCTGCTTTTAATCAACTTCATAGTTGGTTTCCATACTGAACACATGCTGCTTTTGGCAGCAGTTTAAAGATAGACAATGTATTTAATGAGGTTTCCTTGTATGTGAATATAGGATGAGGAGCTGATTCCCCATGCTGATTGGGGAAAAACCCTTGTCTTGTATTCGAGTAAATACAGTAAAACAATCTGTCTATTAAGAAACAAACTGTGTAAGGAACCATTTATATTTTGTTTCTGAAGGAGTAGGCTCTTCTACTTCCTCTACCCTGACACTGCGTGGGTAGGTGAGAAACTGGTGTTAAAGTAAAAGGATAAATAATAGTATGCCAGTATCCAAACTACGTTCTACACAGTTTGAGATGAGTATTGTACCCATCTACTTCATTAATATCTTTGGGGGCACTCAGGATGTTTGTCACACACAGATCTATTTACTCAAAAATAGTTTGATATTTTTAGAAACAGCTGCTCACATGTAGAGAGTTGGGCCATACAGTAATGAAAACATGCACTGACTGTGTTCTGGAACATATATCAATTAAGATATGCAAAGATTTTTTTTTATTGTTTTGCTGCCTTTGGCTAGGGGACAAATGAGTACATTTATTTTAATTTTACCCCACAGAACATTGATGATATTGCCATACTTATGACTCCATATGTTTTGGTAGTGTAAGAGTTGACACTGTAACTGCAGAAATTATGTGAGAGGCAAGGATTTCTTTGGGAGATATCTTTTATTCGACCAACTAGATCAGGACAAAAGAAGAATCCCTTGCACTCAAAATCTTGTCTAATTTTATCCCAACTACATAGTTGGTCCAATAAAAGATATAATCCTAAGAAATCTTTGCCACTCCATGTATTTTTGACAGTATTACTTTCTATGCTGGAAGTTCTATCTTTTTGGTAAAATTTTCATCAACTGACACTTGGCATAAAAAGTGGCAGCCTGAGTTTTATAATATAAAAGCCAATGGGCTTTTTCAGTTATACAGTGAAAATACATGTTCCTATAACAACTGCTGATTTTCGAAGTTCTAGCTCAGAGGTTCTTAACCTTGATAGACTGAAGACACTCCTCAGAGAATGCCAGCTCTTAGTTTTCACTTGATTTTTGACCAGAAAAATAATAGAACAATTCGGTGCTGCAAGGAACTCAGAAAGACCACAAGTCAGAATCTCTTTAATGCTATGGATTCCTATTTAAAATCTAGCTGTGTCCAGATGAGTGAGCATGTGCCTGTTGTGGTGCCTCAAAGCAGTTTGAGATGTTGCAAGGGGCACGCTAAGAATGAAAAAATGTTCCCCACACTGCATATTTTTTAGTGGAAACTCTAAATTTGATACCAGGAAATCCCAGTATCAAAAAATAACACACTGGAAAAACGTGGCACAGGGCATGCTCCTGGAGCATTCCCTGAAGCAACCAGAGGCTGGGGCCTCCAAAGAGACACCCTGGCACCTAACCAGGGTGTCTCTGTGGCTGTCCCATACCCCTGCTGCCCCAGTATGCTGCCTCAGCATGCTAGAGCAAATAGGAGCAGGGTAAGACTTCAGGTGGCAGAGTGGGGACACCAGAAGACATGACAGCAGTGCTGCCTGAAGGCCAACTGTGTAGCCACAGCCTACTGGCAGCGGGCCCCGAGGGGCAGGGGGGATGAGGCTGCAGGCCAAATTGGGAGGACGCTGTTGCAGGTGGCAGCAGGTCACAGCCAGGCAGCAGGCCTCACTGCCAGACTGGTGCAGTGGGTAGAGGGTGCAGGGGCCACTCTAGGTTAGGGCTGCTTCAGCAGTGTAGCTGGCACAAGGGGCTAGTGTCCCCAGATACCAAGTGGCCAGGCCTCAGAAACTCCTGAGGGCAAGTAGCCCTGAGCTGCTTGCCAGGGCAGGATTTTATACTGCTGGGGTCTAGCCTTTAGCTCCCCCTGGCTGCAGATCTGGGAGGACCTGAGCAGGGTCAGTTTGCCTCAAGTGGCACAATTTGCCCCACACCAAAGTGCACATTCAGGCACATGTGCTGAGGCACAATTCTTCAGCAGAAATTTGTGCCACTGCTACTTAAACTGCTGCAAGCACATGTACCTGTATGTGTTAATGTACTCTCTGGGTTTATTTTGTGAATCATGTTTGTACATGTAATGGTGCTAACATTGTGCAGCACCCTGCAGAACCCCTGAAAGGATCTCAAGGCACCCCAGACTGCCGTGGCACCCTGGTTGAGAATCACTGTTCCAGCTAAATGCGATTTATTTCCAAATATAATACTGAGCACTTACATAGCACCTTCTACCTGAACAAGTCAATATCTCTCAAGAGGTATGTCTCACAACTGCCCTCTAAGATGGCTATTACTACACTCCTCTTATTTTGTAAATGACAAATTGAGATATACAGAGAGTAAGGGACTTGGTCAAACGTACAAAGAGGTGAGTGCCACACACAGAATTAGAATATAGGCCTAGTACCCACTGCACTTACTAACTAGGTGAACCATGTGCAGTGAACAATGAATTTAGCTCTTCATGTGGTATTCATGAGCAGGATATAATTTTTTACCAATTTGTTTACTATTCATGAATGTTTAAATAGCTTTTACAAGCTAAAACTAATGTGATTGTTCTTTCACATGATTTCATATTCAAATTCTGTCACTTGTCACATGGTATTATTTATGTTCCCTATTTAGAGGAATTAAACTTTATAAACGACTTCTGTTTGAAACTAGTTTAATGATTAAACAAATCTTAGCTATAGGCTCAACATTTTCTTTTTGAATATTCATGTTAGCAGAACTTTGCTCATATGAAAATTCACTTAAAGCAAATACGTATGCAAATGTAATTGAGGTAAATATTTTTTACTAATCACCCATCTCTATTTCCTTCCACTAGCCACTTTTGCTTCAACTTAAATGTATTATAAAATCAGTCAGTTTTGAAGATGAATGGTTAGTATGTTTTGGTGATAAGTAGAGACAATATAAAACAATCATTTTGAGAGATGTCAATTCCTGCAAGTAATGTAATGGAAGATTCTCTCATACTTATTATGATACAAATTTGAGTCAGGGCTCAAATCCGGAGGGGATGCAGTGGTGAGATGTACCTCCCCCTCTTTCGTTGTGCCACATGATCTCTTGCCGTGGGGTCTGGCTGGAGCCCATGAGGTGAGTGCAGCCACTTGTCCCCTCCTTTATCCAGCTGCTGAATTCAGCAGAGGAAGAGGGATGGAAGGGTGAACAGTAGCAGCCTTCACTTCAGCCAGTCTGCCCTGATTGGCTAGTGAGCTCATGGCTCACTGCTCATGCAGAGCTCCAAGACTGCACATTCTTACTTTTATGTTAAGTGAAAAATCCCTTGACCACAATGGATAAGCATGAGGTTCCACATATGCATAAATCTCTGCAGGGCTGGACCCAGTGACACACTATCAACATATGACACACAGGTTCAACTAACTTTGTTATTGGAAAAACAGGACTATGAACCTGTTTTCCTCCTCTTGAGACAGACTTTGAATAAGCAAGAATCTTTCTACAGGCAGGATTTCTGAACAAATAATGTGGAGTCACTGGCATATGACAGGTTCCAACTGTGTGAGACAGCATGACTGCCACTGCCTTTTTGTCCTCTGAATACACCTCTTCTCCTAATGACAGGAAATGTCTATGATGTAGGCAGTAATGATATTCAAACATGCTATAATCTTATTTACAATATTTATATTATTAAGCTTCACATGACTAAGTTTCCTAACAAAACTCCATGTGATTCTACAAAGTAAATTATTGTGAAGACTTTTTGGTCCTTAACACTAATTTCAGAGCACTTTGCTTCCTTTGTTTTTAGAATTATATGGGACAATTGTGTAACTATTTACAGTATGTACTAAAGAGACTATTGAGAGACACTGCTATGATAATATACATAACCAACAAATTCTGAGGTTATAAATTATGGGCAAAATCAGGCCTCTGGTGTGATAGTACTCAGACTTTGTCACAAAAAGGCGTGTCCATATAAGAAAATATTATTGTGTTTGAAGGTAGCTGTAAAGGATCAAGTTAGCTTGATACAACACGGTCTATGGTTGATGGTGTTTGCAGAATTGGGTCCCAAGTAATTAAATGAACAAAAAGGCAAATAGCCTGAGTTAAACTTAAGGCTCATAAACTCAGTAAAAAGGCTAAATAGTGGGCAAATAGGGACGAATTAAAGAATTAAACCATAGCAATACACACAAATACATATGCACACAAAGAAAATAAACATGGAAACCTTGTGGTACATTCTTTTTCTTCTTCCATTTTTTGTCAGCATATCATTCATGTAATGCCTGATCTTTCAGCTGCTTAAATAGGACCCCTTGTGAATGAAGTTGCATACATGAATGAATGCTTACAGAAACAAGTTCTTAGATTAGAAGGCCTCTGGGGCAAGGATACATCTTTCTACATTTGTGTTGGGCCTACCACACTATTGTATGGTACATAAAGAATTCATTATACCTTCGAGGAGAGCTGTGAATGTTAATTAGTTCACGTCTGCACATCAGTTTGAAACAAGAAAAGGGCTAGATAAATGCTATTTAACTATTAATGATATTATGTGATTGAACTATGTTTAGAAATCACGTGCTGTTCGGCCTGGGCTAGTACTTTGAAAAATGGTTTTCAAATAGC